CGTACGCAATTTTGTCCTCCGAGTTTAAAATCGGTCTGGTCTCCGTTATCGCAGAGGTGCAGAGGACATCTCTGAATACGAAAGTGCGGCGATCACAGTGCGGCAGATCTGTGCGGCGATCCTGGTCACGTGATCGTTGGCCAAATAATAGAGACTGAGAGACGCGTCAACAGAAGTCTCAGCTGCGTTTACCTGGCTCACTCAGCCGCAAACCACACGTTATATAGCTTTCAATCATAATATATATATATGAATGTAACTACATATGTCAGTCAAGGAACCGGAAGATACAAGGGAGGACAGCATCATGGTACTGCATTGACTACTTACTAAGTAAATTGTGGCTGACCATTTGCCCCTGCCCCGAGCGTGACCCAGCGGCTCGCGCAGCACCCTCAGTCTCTGTCAACAGTTGTCAGTGCGAGCATAGCGTGTTCGCGCCTTTCGCGTAGGTGGTCGTAGCACATTGTTTGCCATCTGTTGCCGTTACAGTACGAGAGGAGGGACGAGCGATCTGCTGGCGAGAGCTAGTACCAGCTGAAAGCGCGGGCGAGCGGCGGACGATGCGCTGGTACCACTTTGGGAAAATATAATGGTATCCACACCCGTTGCACTTGAAGTTGCTATTAGTTATGGTTTGACTCCCCAGCGTACATAAAGAGTGACTTACACGAAGGTAAAGATGCCCTGGCGCAATCCCAGAGGCTGCAGGACCCTTAACAGGTAGAGGCATTGACAATGGTCGGCGGTGTGGTCATGTGGGAGTGTCGGGTCTGTCATTATGGTGATAATATCTAAGGATCGTGGGCGTGTCAAGGTCGTAAATAAAAGAAAGGAGGGGGGGAGGCGCTTGCTCAGCGCTCAGCGCCGTCCTGGCTGACGGTGGGCAGAAGAGGAATGACGAGCGACGTGGGCGGTGTGAGCGCTGAACAGATCGTCCCGTGACTGGACGGGAGTTGCCGCCGCACCAGTCGCCGCACAGTGCGGCGGTTTTCTGCCGCACTTTCGAATTCAGAGATTTTCTGGAGGTGCAAGGCGGTAAGTGAATATTGTTTTATTTTCGTACATTTTTTGTAAATATAATAAAATAAATAGAATAAATGAAACTTACAACCAATGTCAATTCGCGACACGAACGTAGTGATCATCGAGACTGGCAGGACTGTCGTACGCGCTGGTCTCGGCCTCCATGATCTCCTAAAAACACCCACAGTTGTATGTATCTGAAGCAACTACCCATTCATTCTGTAAGCCTTATGGAAATAAAACATAGGAAATCCAAGCTCGAGTTGGCCTGCGCCAAACCGCTTTCAAATACCAATGGGGTTTCAAAGGAACCTCCCTTAGCTTCGAAGAGTCGCGTTGGGACATCTAGACGAACAGCGTCTGTGACTGATCACCTTGTCGGCACCCAACTCGACGAGGCATTGGCAAATGGCCAGGGTATCAGCTTTTTTCAGGTAGCATACAAACATTTCTACATCANCCACGCGGTCGAAATCGCACAGTGCCCTAGCCAGTGCAACATCCGGGGCAACGAC